ATATGTAAGGAGTCTTTTTGTTGAAGCTTCTTTCAACATAGCCATTATTAATTGACCACAAACACCTAAAGAGACAAAAGATTTTATTTTTAAAAATAATAAAGTTTTTTTTTATATACCCTCATTAAAATCGTGCATAGGATCATTAGGTAAAGAAGTTACAGCATGAAAACCTATCAGATTTACCAATGGACTTGCACCAACAACACCATGTAATGTAACATTATTATTCAAATTGGTCACTTGTTGAACAAAATTATTATGTTGATCTTGTATTCGACGACGATGAGTATTTTCATTCAAAGGAACAAGTTTTTGATTATAATTTATATGACAATGTCTACAGAATTCTCCAGTATTGAAAATTTTCTGGAACCCTCCTACATCATTGGACGCTAAATGATCACCAGTTACTACTGTAAATACAAAATGTAAATGAGTCTGAAGAGTTGGAATGAAAATTCCATTCATTTGCAAAACATTTAGATCTTTAACTATTGGATCAAAAATTTTTTTCTATTTAAATCATTAGTTAAATAATTAGAATGACACATGGCAACAACTCCTATTGAATTTAAGATTGATTTAATAGTGTCAGGTAAATCTTCTAATTGAAAATATATCATAGTAACTTTTTGAGTATCTTTTTTGGCACCTATAGCGTTAGTCAAGCCGATATCGTCTATATAGAGTTGAAGTAGTAATGCATCAGGTTTATTTTTCAATACTGTATGTTGTTTCCCAAGTAATCCATGACGAAAATTGAACATCAAATCTGTATCCATAATATTACGATTGACATTTTCATTAAAATTTTTGATCAGCATAGGTAAAACATCAGGTTTTTTAAACATTTGTTGAATACTGCATTGTATGGGAATATAGTATGCTATCTGATCAGGATTTTCTAACTTTATTTCTTTAGCTGGTGTATAAGAAAAATATTTTTTACATAGTTTCAAGAAACTATGTTCATTTTTCGTAATATCTGTTATTCTTTCGGTTATGTTTGAGATAACTTCATTGACATCACTCAATAAAATAGAATCATATGTAGCTGAATTAATAGTTGTTTTTCGATTTTTCATTTTTAATAGCTGATAAATTAGTTCAATCAAAGATTTTAATCCAGATGTGATCGTTTGGATAATATTTTGCGGTAAACAATGTCCTTCTCTAAGACTAAGCAAAAAGTCCATGTAAAACTTTTCAAAGAATTCTAGATCTATTTTTTTTTCTGACGATCGAGCAATTGTTTCTTTAAGCAACGGCCAACATATAGTATCTTCATCTTCTATTTCTTCTTCACTCTCATCTTCTTCGTTTTCTCCATCATATATTTGCATATTAAAATCTGATTGTGTAGCATAATTTGTCGCCAATAAGGTTTCATCATCATGTGTATCTGTAATTATTTATACTTCCTTTCTATATAAATCTTCATTAAGAAGATCCACATGCTGTCGATAAATATGACCTTTGTAAGCAGCAAAGGTCGAATATATTCGTCCACATAATGGCCCAAGTTCACAGCGAACTTTAAAATCTAATTGTC